TTTTGTTTTTTCAAGACAGGGTTTCTCTGTGTAACAGCTCTGGCTGTCCTGGAACTTGCTTTGTAGACCAGGCTGGCCTCAAACTCAGATCTGTCTGCCTCTGCCAAGTGCCAGGACTAAAGATGTGCACCACCTCCACCCAGTTAGACTTTTGAGTTTAAAAGACACAATTCACAGGTTTTCTCTGTCTTCCTACTTATGGGTCAATAAGTGAGCTCTCAGCCGTTCATGCTACCATTCTTTTGCTCATGGATAGATAGACTCTAACCCTCTGAACCCATAAGCACAATTAAACACTTTCTTTTATAAGTTGCCTTGGTCAGGGTATTTCATCACACCAATAGAAACATTAGCTATTACACATCAATAAAGGACAAAAATCATCCAAACAGAACAACCACTTGAGAAAAATCTAGCACACACATACTCCATATCCTGATAAGAGGCATCTGTTAAAAGCCCAGTTAACAGCTTCACCTACAGAGAAACTCAATCTCAAAGACCAAAAAAATAAACAAAAAATAATCAAAAAACAAACAAAATTCCCCAGTTAACACTGTGATGGACCCGTAGAAACTGTTATTGCCGAAAAGCACTGACTCCTCCGTTGGGCCTGTACTTATGAAAAGCAGAATAAACTCTGGATCTCAGCCTTCATTTTACATTTGTACATTTTACATTCCTTTACTTCGGGTTCATCACCTGTTTAATGCGGCAGAGTTAAGTGTTTGAACGCCTACCTGAAATCTGAGGTCCTCTGTGGTGGTTTGAAAGAAAATGGCCCCAAAAGGGATCGGCACTATTAGAAGGTGTGGTCTTGTTAGAGGAAGTGTATCACTGTGGAGGCAGTCTCATATATGCTCAAGATACTGAGCAGTCTCTCAGACCACTTTCTGTCACCTGTGAGTCAAGATGTAAGAATGCTCCAGCTTCCTCTCTAGCACCATGTCTGTCTGCATGCCGCCTTGCTTCCTGCCCTGATAATGGACTAAACCTCTGAAACAGAAAGCAGGCCACCACAATTAAATGTTTTCCTTCATAAGAGTTGCTGTGGCCCTTCATAGCAATAGAAACCCTAACTAAGACCCTAACAGAGGTGAGAGTAACTGAGACACCATCTGTCAGCTTGTATCATATTCTATTTTGTTCTTCACCTGAAAGTTGCCAATTATTGTCCCAAACCTCCAGTCATCTTGGATTCCAGGAACAGATCTCTAAAGTTGAAAGAATTCTCAGTGAATTCTCCTTAGAGCCTCCAAAAAGAAGTTCAGACAGGCCAAACCCCAATTTTAGTCCAATCAGATCCATTTTAGTATTCTGCCCTTTAAAACTGTACAGTAATAAATTGGTACTGTTTTAAACCACTGAATTAGGTGCTTGTTACAGCAGCATTGGAAAACTAATACAAGGTAAATACATTGAGTTTCCCATGTTAAAACCCAAGCAATCGTAATACCATTTTGCAGTTGCTATTGCAGGTTTTGTTAAGGATTTTTGAACCTATATTCATAAGAGGTCTTGATTTGTTTTTGTTTTTTTTTTTTCTTTCTTCTTAACTTCCTTCCTTTTGTGGTATCTTTGACTATATTTGATGTCAAGACAGTAGTGGCCTTCAACAGAATGAACTGAGAAGTGCTTCCCTTCCTTCTACAGAGTCTCTCCAGCTTTGAACAGAAGTTCTCAGTGTGTTGTATCTTTGTCCATTTCATTACTTTTAACATGTGATTTTGTTTATTGGGGTGCTGGAGTTATACCCAGGACCTTGCACATGCTTAGCAAGCACTGTGCCACTAACTTACACCCCTAATCTGACTGTATTTTTTTTCTTTTTAATTTACTTTTAAAAAAAATGTTGTATGTTCCTATGTGTGAGGTGTGTGTGTGTGTGTGTGTGTGTGTGTGTGTGTGTGTGTGTGTGT